TATTTTCCCTCCACAATCACTCTTCACTCCCCAGGTTCATGATGTAGGTAAATTCACAAGAAAATCATCTTGGCTCTAATAATTTGGATGATTACCTTTTCTTTAGGCTCAAAGAGGTGACAAAGGACAATGTAAAGTGTTTAGGCAGGGCCTCTCATCATTGAATCTATTAGCTCTTGAATTTGATCATGATTTGCTATTCTTAGTTTAATGATTGCCAACATTTTGATTTTTAAAGCTTCAAAACCCTCAAAAAGGACTTTTCCTTGGGTTGTAATGGGGTTTGGTTAAGGTTTTTATGAAAAGAATGGAAATTAAAGGCTCAAAATTACCCAACATGCCCCTCAAGTTACATGCCTTAGCTAAGAGCTTGCCATTTCAACCCTTGCCATGTGACATTTGCATTGTCATTTCTTTTTCTTTTTCTTTTTTTTCTTTTTTTGCTTTTGTTGAGCTTTTGCTCTCTTTGAACTTTGCCCCTCTTTTGAGATTTCTCTTCATGGCTTTTAGCAATATGATCTTGCCCCAATTAGGCAGGTAACTATATTCACCGATTTTGGGATAAGTATGAAAGAAAAGGCTCACTTTTTCTTTTTAGGCTCAACTTGGTTGACGAAAGGATGGCTCTTTTAGGTAAAGTGTTTGGAAATTAGGCTCATGAAAGATGGCCTTTGATCCTTGAGCTTTTCACTTTAGACCTCAAAATGATAACAATCATTCAACGTAAGTTAGCAAGATTTCCTTATTCTCTCTCTCTCTCTCTCTCTCTCTCTCTTTTTTTTTCTTCTTGTATGAGTCTATCACATTTGACTGTAACTTGGCCTTTGATTTTGTAACATATCAATTAGTTCATGGGAAGAATCAAGATCATCATCATCTTCCTCGACATGGATTTGGATCATTTGAACCATATACCAATCTTGAAATGGCATCATCGTATTCAGATTCATCATTAGCAAAGCCTGAAAGCAAACGAAGCATGGATAAGCAATAGCATGTGAGGAAAGCATATATATGCAACTTTTTTTGTTTTTTTGTTTTTTTAGCATATTAATGGCATCAAATGATGTCTCAATGGTAAATGATGGTTTGGACAATGATTAACAAGAAAAGTTGCATCAGGTTTAATGGATGACAATATGGCAACATATGTTACTGAATTGTAAAGACTGGGAAAACTAATTAGCATGATAGCAAATATTTCAAAGAATATAAAAAAGCTTGTTATTCCCTCCTTTCATGTAGCCACAAGCTGAGCTATTAGAAAGCTGACTCATCCCACTCATGGATGAATGAAGCAAAGAAAAGCTTGACTGTCCAATTGGCCAAAGTACCCCCAAGGCAGAAGTAATGGTCATGTCAAATAGGGGTTCATCCCTAAGAGCAATAATACTCAAACTTCCCCATGTCCTAGATTTGCCCCCTCATTCATTGAATCTAGATCCACATATCTCATGTGTAAGTCCACTTCAACATCATATCTTGGTGATCTTATAAGAGTATGTTGAAGGTTGCCTTCTAGATGGATGATGCATTGCTCCAAAGAGTGAGAAAACATAGAAAGACTATCATGCTTGATTTTTTTGTTTTTGTTCTTGAAGTAGTTTATGAAACCTACCTACAAACAAAAAGTAAAAGAAAAATAAACAAAGTCAGAATAATGTTAGAAGTCATCCCATAATTTTGCATGATTTAGTGCTTCAACAATTGCTATGTGGATTCACACATTGTCGATTTCCAATCCTTAAGAAGCCTCGGATGAAGCAAAAATATCTTTGAACGCCTTGAGATTTCCATCAAACTTAAAGGGCTGCATAGAAGACATTTACAAGTAGCTCAACATGCATTACAAAGATGGTCATTGATTATAAAGTAAAAGCCTAGTACATCACACTAAGTACAACAACATGGTAGCATTCAAATCCCTAGTAAAATCTAACTCCTAGATCTTTCAAAGTACAATTGTCTACTGAGGAGTAGCATCCTTTTCCTAGAAGAACCTCCTTGATTGCTAGAGCCATATAAAGTGCGATGTGCTTGAGCTTTTGATCTTCAAGGCTGCTATTTCTAAGCTTGCCCCTTGGACTTCGCAATTGTCTATGATGGAGAAAATGCTTGCAATTGAAGATCTCCTGAATCCTTTGTTGGTCAAAGCTTTCTCCACGGATGAATATTTCAAAAGTGTCTTGACTGACAAAGATTCACGCTTGACTATGTATGAATCCATATTTCAATTGTTGAAGGCAGATAATCAAACAAGATTATGGGAATGCAGGAAAAGAAATAAACATGGATACCAAACAATGGATAAAGGATGAAGGAACATGAAGATACTCTAAAGTGATACTGTGTGTGAAGTTGTATCATAAAGCATGCATTTTTGGGAATGCAAGAAAAGAAATAAACATGGATGGGAAATGAGAGATGAAGGATGCAAAAATATAAACATGATGACAAGTGGTAATGTGTGAAGTTGTATCCTAAAACATGAATTTTTCTTCATTGAGTATGCCAAACAAGTCTCAAAGGAGAAGTTGATGATTCACTATTTCAAGCATTAGGTTGGCATACTATTCCTTTGAAAAAGAGCCAATGCCATGAAGCTTGAAAAAAAAAAAGTGAATGGTGTGATACTTGGAGAAAATGGATGATGTGATGTTCCAAAATCATGTGCTCAAATTATTTTGATGTCTAAAAGACAGACTTTTCATAATTTATCTTGGAAGAACCTCTTTTTCTTTTTCTTTTTCAAAAATGTGAAATGCAATGCAAAATGCATGTGGATGAAATTTCCATTTTTATTTTTATGCACTTGTTTTTGAGCTATGAAATGGAAATAGTGATGGTTGAAATGAAATATGTGATGAAAAAGGGAATGTGAAATGAACATGGAAGAAATTTTCATTTTCATGCTTCTTCTTTTTTTTTTTTTCGAAATGTAGAAAGGATGAGATGAAGAAATATGAGAGAAAAACTAACAACATGAAATGAAATGGAGATAGATAAAATTTTCATTTTTTTCATTTTTTCAGCATTTTTAAAATTTTTTTTTATGCAACTTTTGTGAAATATGGGAAATATGAGATGGACATAATAATGCTTAGAATGAAAATTTGAGATAGT